CAAAACGATCAAAAGAAAATTAGTATACAAAAAATGAAAACGAATTAAGATCATTTGTTTATAAAGGAATAAAAAAAAATACAACATCAGCTACAAAAACGAACGAAGAAAGAAAACACGGGCAAAAACTATTCACTGTAGCAAGAAACCTTTCGCCCTGAAAAATGAAAAAAAAAAAGAGAATCAGTATAAAAAACACAAAACGAACAAAAGAGTATAATTATTTTAGAAATTATAAGTATGTGCAATATATAGATCTTATTGAATAATTATGAAAATTATGGAATTATAATACTCTTTAAGAAAAACTTTCCAAATATGTGTTTTAATGATTGAATTTGAATATTTATATTATTAATAACTATGATAATTGATGTGATGAGATTATTTGAATGACGATGATTGGATTTGGATTTTTCTATGATGAATGTTGAAGATTTGAATTATTATATCCTTGAATAAATTGGAAAGTTATGATTATGATGAATGTTGAAGATTTGAATTATTATATCTTTGAATAAATTGGAAAGTTATGATGAGGATCGGATTTGGATTTTACTGTGATGAATGTTGAAGATTTGAATTATCATATCCTTTAATAAATTGGAAAGTTATGATGATGATCGGATTTGGATTTTACTGTGATGAATGTTGAAGATTTGAATTATCATATCCTTGAATAAATTGGAAAGTTATGATGATGATCGGATTTGGATTTTACTATGATGAATGTTGAAGATTTGAATTGTTATATAAATTCAAAAATTTATGATAATAGTTGTTTGAATTATGATACTTTACCAAATGGTGGTAGCTCAGTTGCCGCATGGGAGCTGAGCAGGTGGGGGTGAGGGCATGTGTTCGAATCTCCCCAGTACCACCTTTGGGAGGGGTTTAAAGCCTTAATCCTGGACCCGCCCCGAATCGGACTAATCGCGAAGCGATGAACCGATGGAATATTTCCAAAAAGAAAAAATTATGATACTTTGGAAAATTATAATGCCCTTGAGTAACTCACTTAGAGATGATAATACTTAAAGAATAAATAATTATGATTGAATCTTTCGTGATTGTGTGTGTTTGTAATAAATTAATGGTGGGAGGATAGCTTTGGGATGGTACCTCCCAAAGTGATGAACACAACTTTTGGGCTTTATGCCTCCGATGTGAAACTGATGTGAAAAAAGATTATATCTGTTCTTCCCAAAGTGGTGTCTGGCAGGGTTTCCCGGGATACTAGTAGCAACTTTGGGAAGAGGTGTGCACACTAGGAAGATGTGAATTGATTATGGCCAATGTGATTTGTTTGTGACTGGCAGGGTTTCCCAGGTCACAGGGTAGACTGGCAGGGTTTCCCGGGTCTACCATGGTTCTCTTAACACTAAATATAATGAACTTAAACATTATTAATAATGAAATTTGTTATTTGATTTGATTATGAAGAATGTCATTGAGTTGTGAATATTATCATATTATGATTAATGTTGTGCTAAATATGTTAGTTGATAATTACCAAATACATTAAATGAACTTAATAAAGATAAATATTATATAATGAAATTTTGATTATTATATTGATATTTGATTTGATTAATGAGGAATTGATTTGAACACTATTTGATATTTGATTTAATTTGTTATTAATTACATTAATTGTATTTTGATTGGGATTACCAGCTTTTGCTGACTTTTGTGTTTGTTTAACTGCAATGATCCTTCACGGGGGAGCAGATTTTCAGTGAAGCATGTTGCAAAGGATGGGGCGAGCTGTGGGCAGTGAGGATCACGACTCGGATATTTCTAGCTAGTTCCTAAGTTTAGAAATTTTATGAGATTTAAATAAATGCATGAGACATATTTCCTTTATTTAAACTTTAGTCTTTGGTTTTATTTTAATGTAATAAATTTAGCCTTGCACCTGTCCATTGTACAGGTGCGGCGGTAACATTCCCCAAATTAGATTTAGATTAGCTTCCACAATATTTCTATTATTATAATTGTAAAAAAAATGAATTTTGACAATTTATTTATTTTAAGATTGTTTTATAAATTGTTAGAAATTTGGGGTGTTACAAAATTGAGTTTTATCTAATTTTCCTTCTTCCACATAATATAATGAGCCCTTTGCACTTATTTTTAGTGATTTGTGGGGACCTGCACCCATTCCTTCATCTCAAGGCTTTATGCATTATATTACATTTGTTGATGTTACAACAAGGTATACATGGATTTATCCCCTCAAACAAAAATCAGAATCATTAAGCATCTTCAAACAGTTTCACTCCTTTGTTTCCACTCAATTTAAACACAGCATCAAATCTGTCCAAACTGACTGGGTGGTGAATTTAGACCCTTCACAAAATTTCTTACAGACTTGGGAATAATTCATAGACTGATTTGTCCTCATATTCATCATCAAAATAGGTTAGTTGAAAGAAAACACGGACAAATTGTTGACATGTGACTGACTCTTCTTGCACATGTTTTCCTTCCCCTTAAGTACTGGGATCATGCTTTTCTTACATCTGTCTATTTAATAAATAGACTGCCTACATCAGCTTTAAACTTCAAAATTCCCTACTATGAACTTTATAAAACATTTCCTAATTATAAAATCCTTCGCACATTTGGATGTGCTTGTTTTCCTCTACTTCGTCCATACAATAAGCACAAATTTGATTTCAGATCTCAGGAATGTGTTTTCCTGGGATACTCACCCAGTCACAAAGGTTATAAATGCCTAAACTCTTGATGGAGAAATTTACATATCTAAAGATGTACTCTTTAATGAACACATATTTCCCTTTCCATTCATATTTTCTTCAACCTCATCAAGCATCCCAAATAATTCCACTTACTCAAGCAATATCATCCCACTAGCTTCTACTTCTCCTAATACATTCTCTCCATCACTTCCTCAGACCACTACCTCAGGGTCACCAACTGCAGCAATAAGAACCAATTCAAATGTTTCCTTCTCTGGACATACCGATGACTCTGCTCCTAACTTGATACATGATACATCATTTCATTCTTCTGACAGTGCTATACCGCCTTTTTCTTCTGACAGTGCAGTACCATCCTTCTCTGGACATACCGATGACTCTGCTCCTAACTCTAATTCCTCACATAATAGAGTCAGTTCATCTCAACCTTCTGCTACTGCTGATAAATCTCCTAACACCAGTTTTACTCCCTCATCCAGTCAAATCAATCATTCTCAGTCTTCTAACTCTAGCTCCCCACCCTTAAATACTACAGTGCAGTCACCTGTGTCCACTGTCTCTCCTATGTCTTTATCTTCTTCTCCACCTTCATTAGGATCTGGATATCAACCCTATAAATCTCTTAAAATACACTCTCCTACTCATACTATATTACCAGATCTAAAGGTCCAGTCCCTTCCATTTTCACTGCTCATATGGAACCAACCAGTGCTAAACAAGCTCTAACTGACCCCAAATGGGCTCAAGCTATGCAGCAGGAATATGATGCTCTCAGCAGGAATATGGTCTCTTATGCCTCTGTCAGCCTCAAGGAAGCCCATTGGTTGCAAATGGATCTTTAGAATAAAAGAAAATTCTGATGGTACAATTAATAAATACAAGGCAAGGCTAGTTGCCAAAGGTTTTCATCAACAATATGGCTAGGATTATAATGAAACATTTTCCCCAGTAGTAAAGCCTATTACTATTCGCACTATCTTCACCTTGGCTTTGTTTCATGGATGGCCTTTAAAACAACTTGATGTTAATAATGCTTTCCTCAATGGAGATCTCTTGGAAGAAGTATATATGTCTCAACCTCCAGGTTTTGAAGTCACTGACAAGACCCTAGTATGCAGGCTCACCAAGGCTCTTTATGGATTAAAACAGGCTCCTAAGGCCTGGTTGGAAAATTTTGGAGATACTCTTTCATCATCTTGGTTTCATTTCTCGCAAATGTGACCCCTCTCTCTTTATTCTTCGCTCTAATGGCAGCTGCACCTATATTCTAGTTTATGTGGATGATATTATCATCACAAGAAACAATTCTGACTTAATACAACTTCTAATTGATCAATTGCATTCTAAATTTGCCTTAAAACAGCTTGGAAATCTGGACTACTTTCTTAGGATCGAAGTTAAACATCTCTCCAATGGAAGGATACTGTTATCTCAATCAAAATATATTAGAGATCTTCTTTACAAAGCTGGAATGGCAGAAGCTAAAGGAATTTCCACTCCTATGCCTAGTGGATGCAAGCTAAGCAAATTTGGCTCTAACTATGTACCTGATCCCTCGCTTTACAGGTCCATTGTTGGAGCACTGCAATATGCTACATTAACAAGACCTGAAATTTCCTTTAGTGTGAATAAAGTCTGTCAATTTTTATCCCAGCCACTTGAGGAACATTGGAAAATTGTTAAACGCATTTTGAGGTATCTCAATGTCACTTTATCCTATGGTCTGGTATTTCATCCACCTTCATCACAACACCCTCTCTCACTTGTGGCCTTTTGTGATGCTGATTGGGATTCAGATCCGGATGATAGAAGATCAACCTCTGGAGCTTGTGTGTTCTTAGGCTCCAATCTCATCTCTTGGTGGGCTAAGAAGCAATCCCTAGTGGCACATTCAAGTGCTGAAACTGAGTATCGAAGCTTAGCCCATGTTGCAGCTGAAATTTTGTGGTTGCAATCTCTTTTGCAAGAGCTCCAAATTCCAGTTTAAGTCCATGTCATCTAATGTGATAATCAGAGCACAATTGCTCTTGCTCATAATCCAGTTTTGCACTCGAACAAAACATATGGAGCCAGATGTCTTCTTTGTCAGGGAAAAAGTTCTGGCTAAGTCCCTCATTGTGCAGCATGTTCCATCTTCCCTACAGGTTGCTGACACCTTCACTAAGCCTCTTTCTACTTCCGGATTTGCAGATCTCAAAGACAAGCTCAAGGTCTTGGATCATGCAATGCTAACCAAACCCCCTTGAGCTTGAAAGGGAGAATATTAGAGTAGCTCAGTTTATATCCTGTAAAATCAGTTACAACTTACAACAAAGTAACTGACTTGTAACTAATTGTAACTGACTTAGTTTTCTATTAGATTCTAACTCAGTGAGTTAATATTGTATAGTCAATTAACTCTCTGAAGTTAGCTTAGTTCAGTAGGTCTATAAATAGACCCCTGTGTAATTCTCTAAAGTGTGGTTATCATTTTTCACAATTTTGAAACTCAGTCTTTTTAGATTCGCTAATTCTCTCTTCCCTTTCTTTACATTCTTCGTTTAAACAACAATATAACGAAAATGCTTAAAAAAGTGGAATACGTTATAGCTACCAAGCTTTTATACTTTACCCATGACAAAGACAAACTTTATTAAAAATCAAAATAATGTTTAAATTGACAGAGCAAGATAGATAACATGCAAATTTGAAGCAGAAATGCCCACCATAATGCACATTTTTTCACCTTAAGATACAAAATCATAATATCTAATGGAAACACACACATGCACATCATGTTAGTATCAGTCAACATAGACATATGTGAAAAATTAAACAAAATCTCAGCAAAAAGATGAGACACTACCTGGACAACAACATCAGAAGAATCTATCACTTTGTAGAGCTCACCCCATATGCATTTACTTTGACCTTTTTCAAACATGGTATGCCGCACTAAATCTCTAAATCCATCTCCTTCATTAGCTTCTGCAGACACACTAGGATCATACTTCTGCTCAAAAGCCTCTGCAAAGTAACGTGGGATTAGGAAAAACAATAATGATAGTAATTAGATTAAGTACAACATTATTTGGTTGATGAAATGATCAATAACATAAAACAAGCACAAAAACTGTATTATTCAGTTTCAACTAAGTGGAAAAATTAAGTACACCAATGAAAAACAAGTAACAGATTAAGTTCTTAATGTTAACTACCCTAACCCCATTAAGCATCCAATATACTTCCTGCATTTCAAATTGTCTGTCACTTAGAAAACAAAAAAGGCATTAATTTTTTTTCAATCTTATCCTTACCTCTTTTTTTTTTGTATCTCGAGTAAGTGGAATTAAAACACATTAATTATGTGAAAGGGTAATTTAGTCAAATATAATTATCAACATCAACATCTTTATCCCGAACTTAGAAAAATTATATTTCCCTAAAATTAAATATATTCAATTATTTTCACAACCCTTGTCTAAAACCTTAAACGACAATTGTTCCGGGTTTATACATCCGGGTATCAATAGTCAAGGAGAAGAGTTGATAGAACCCGGATGGGGTTTTACCCGGAAGGGAAGTCGGCCAAAATACTATAACCCAAAGTGGGCCCTACCACGATTACATGATGGGTTTCTATAACTACCCACGTTCACAATAACCACATATGGAAGGGTTATATATACCAAAGACCATAACTAACAGAGGGGATAGACAATAATCATACTAATGTTCATACAGAACATTTGGCGCTGTCTGTGGTAAAAGGTAAAAAGATTCCTATGCATATTGTTGAGTCATGGCAAGCAATTACCATGATGAGGGAGCGGAAGACGACGGAGGATACCTAGGAGAGGAAGATTCTTTCCGATCCAGTGGAAGGAATCGGTCTCTAGACACCATTGGAGAAGTTTTGATTCAGTTAGTGGAGGATATCAGGAATAGGCAACATCTAGAAGGAGGGCAAAGGAGACGTGGAGCAGAGGAAAGGCATCTTGTAGAGAATGAGCAGCAATCACCCAACAGAGGACGAGATTCTTTGTCTCCTCTTCCTAACTATATTCCTTTATCACCTCCAACAGTGGGGGGAAATAGAAGGAATGAAGGGAGGAGATGACAACTTTGTCAAGAGTCAAGGGGTTCTCCAGAAAGGGGAGGCTATCAAGGCGGAGGACGAGGAGCAAATCCGCGGATAGGAGAAAGGATACTTGAGGATTATGCCCGGAGAACAGGCCGGGCTAGGAAATATCAAAATAGTGAAGATGAACAGGTGGAAGAAGAGGTGACATGGGAGGAAGAACAGTATTTAGGAGCCCGTCAAGGTTATACTCGGCGAGATGAACGAGAGGTAAACAGAGGTCGATATAAAGAAACTTATCAAAGGTGGAGGCCGGAAGGAGGAAGAAATTATAGCAATCGCAGAGGTGAAGTTCCACGAGACGATACCGAGTACCATTACTGGGGTAGAGATCAAAGTCAAGGAGATGGAAGGCGACAAGCAAATTGGGATTATCAGCATTACGGACCAGGGAAGGCAGAAGGCTGGGGTCCTCATTATGGCAATAGACAAATGGCCAATAGGGAGCAGGATGTACCCGTTTGGAATGGACAACTCGGAGGAGCTCAACAAGGGATTCTGGCGCCCCCCATTAATCAGGGACCATCAGGAACTCCTTTGTCGGGGAGGCTTAGAGCAGAACCAATCCCGGTTTGGTTTAAGCAACCAAGTGACATGAAGGCGTATGATGGAAGTTCAGACCCAAAGGAGTTCGTGACCGTGTTCCGGGCATCAATGTCCTTGTGTGGCGAATCAGATTCATTGTTGTGTCGAACATTTCCTGTGTTTTTGAGAGAACAGGCTTTGGAGTGGTTTACGGCTTTACCAGATAACTCCATAGAAAGTTGGGTGGACTTAACACAACAGTTCGTGATTGCGGACGCCAGCCTAAAACAACGCAAAATTTGTGCGGAGTAAGACAAAAGTCCGGAGAAAAGTTGCGAGATTATTATGAACGTTTTCAGGCAGAAGCAAGACAAGTTAAGGGTTTAGAAAATCAAACGTACCTGTTGTTGTTCACTACTGGATTACAACCCGGAGGAATTGCCAACTCGTTAGCCAAAAAGGCTCTGGCTACAAAGGAAGATTTGCTAGAAAGAATCAGAAAGTATATTGATTTGGAAGAATTTAAATCTTCTCAAAAGCAAATATAAAATTAAGCCATTGGGATATATCCCATTAAGGATGACGTTAGGCAAGGCGCCCGCGCACAAAACGGTCACTTTGATGTTTGCAGTAGTAGAATTGAGCTCAACGTACAATGTTATCTTGGGGCGGCCATTTATGAAGAAGTTTAAAATCTTCTTGTCGATTGATCAGTTGGCTATGAAATTTGTGGCCAAAAAGATGTTTGCAGCAGTAAAATTGAGCTCGGCGTACAATGTTATCTTGGGGCGGCCATTTATGAAGAAGTTTAAAATCTTCTTGTCGATTGATCAGTTGGCTATGAAATTTGTGGCCAAAGATGAGTCAGTAGCTACGACAAAGGCGGACCAAGTGGTTGCTCGGAGTTGTTATAATATGAGTCTACGAGTTCCACAAGCAGGTAAGGAGAAAAATATTGTGGAACCACCACAACAAGCCAAAGAAGAAAATGTACAAAGAGAAGAAGGAAAGAAAGAAGAACAAGTAATGGTGGTGGAGATGGACCCTCGGGAGGAGGACAAGGCGGACAGGCCGGAACCCGCCGGTGCAATGGAAGAAGTTCAATTAGGGATATCTCCACAGCAGTGTACTAAGATAGGGTCCGAGTTGGAGCCCGAGGTGGCAGAGAGTTTGAAGTATTTGTTGAAAAAGAATGCTGATTTGTTTGCATGGAAACCTTCAGATATGCCCGGTATGGATCCGGCATTGTCTTGTCATCGCTTGGCAATGACCCCAGGAGCAAAGCCGGTAGTGCAGAAGAAACAGAGATTTTGTTTAGAAAGGAGGAGGGCCATTGAAGAAAAGACACAAGAGCTTTTGGAAGCAGGGTTTATTAGAGAAATAGAATATGCTACGTGGCTAGCCAACCCGGTGCTGATAAGGAAGCCAGATGGGAAGTGGAGAATATGTACAGATTATACAGACTTGAATAAAGTGTCCTAAAGACCCATTTCCTTTACCAAGTATTGATCATTTAGTAGACAGAGCCTCTGGGTACAAAGTGTTGTCATTTATGGATGCATATTCCGGGTATAATCAGATACGGTTATGGAAGGAAGATCAAGAAAAAACAGCGTTCATAACTGATAATGCAGTGTATTGTTATAATGTCATGCCATTTGGATTAAAGAATGCAGGAGCGACGTACATGAGAATGATGAACAAAGTGTTTAAGGCACAAATGGGTAGAATGTTGGAAGTATACATGGATGATATGATTGTGAAGTCGGGGGACGGTAAGACACATTTACAAGACTTGCAGCGGTGTTCGAGCAGGTTAGGAAGCATAATATGCGCTTAAACCCAAGTAAGTGCGCTTTCGGGGTTCCAGCCGGAAAGTTTTTGGATTTCCTGTTAACAGAAAGGAGAATTGAAGCTAACCCAGACAAGTGTAGAGCAGTGATGGAAATGAAAAGCCCAGAGAATATTAAAGAAGTCCAAAAGTTGAACGGGCGAATAACAGCTTTGTCCAGATTTTTGGCCAAGTCTGCACAGGTGTCTTTGCCACTATTTCAACTTCTAAAGAAGAGAAGTAATTTTGCATGGACGGAGGAATGTGAGATAGCATTTCAGCGCTTCAAAGAGATGTTGGCTTCGCCGCCAATCTTAGGAAACACGGAACCAGGTGAAGTGTTATACTTATATTTATCTGTGTCACAGGAGGCTGTTAGTTCAGTTCTCGTCCGAGAAGGGAAAGATGGGAAACAACAACCGGTATACTTTATAAGCAAGGTGTTACAAGGAACAGAAACAAGATATCAGCATGTAGAGAAAATTGCATTTACACTGTTGATTACAGCAAGGAGGCTTCGTCAGTATTTCCAATGTCATCAAGTGGTTGTTCGGACTAATCAGCCAATAAGGCAAATGTTGCATAAGCCAGACCTCGCAGGTTGGATGGTAGCGTGGGCAGTGGAGTTATCTGAATTTGGCATTCATTTTGAAGCGCGCAACGCGATCAAAGCAAAAGCTTTAGCCGATTTCGTGGTAGAGATGACACAACCCAGAGGGAAGCAAGAAAATGTTTGGTGGAAGTTGTTTGTGGACGGGTCGTCCAACAAAAGAGGCAGTGGGGTAGGGGTTATAATAGAGAACCCGGATGGAGTGGCCGTAGAACATTCGCTGGCATTGGAGTTTCCCACGAGTAATAATCAAGCAGAGTATGAAGCAATGATTACCGGTTTGGTTTTGGCAAAGGAGCTCGGAGCCGAGCTCCTAGAGGTGTATAGCGATTCCCAATTAGCAACTTCGCAAATTAGCAGAGTATACCAAGCTCGAGGGGAGATTATGATTAAATATTTGGCAAGGGTACAGGAGTTGATGAAAGAATTTAGGGAGATCCGAGTAGAGCACATTCGTAGAAACGGTAATGTTAGAGCAGATGTGTTGTCAAAGCTGGCGAGCACTAAAGCCTCAGGAAATTTGAAGACCATTATACAGCAAATATTCGAGCTCCGAGTGTGGTGTGGATGGTCGAAGAGGTGGATTGGAGAAGCCCAATTATAGAGTATTTGGAAAAAGGAAAGGAGCCCGGAGAAAAAATGGAAGCAAGTCGGCTTAGGAGAAGAACGGCTTGGTTTGTCAGGATAGAAGGACAGTTGTATAGAAGAGGGATAAATTCTCCTTTGTTGAAATGCATAGCTCCACCGAACACGGAATACGTGTTAGAGGAAATACACGAGGGGATCAATGGACATCATCTAGGAGGGAAGTCGTTAGCCAAAAAAGCTATACGAGCAGGATATTTTTGGCCAACAATGGGAGAAGATGCTAAAAAACATGTACGCAGATGTGAACAGTGTCAGAAGTTTTCTAATGTATA